GCTGGGGGATTGAACCGTGGTCCCTGTGTTCTGCTAAGCTTGTTCTAAGTAGGTGCTTTAGACCACTGAACCATCTCACCAGCCCCATCATGGATACATTTTAAAATCATGTACAAACTAAAAGTACTTGGAGGGCTGGTGAGATAGCTCAGCAGACTAAACACCTGTTTAGCCAAGCGCAGGCACTGGGGTTCAATCCCCGGAACCACATGCTGGGTCAGCCCTTACCCTGGGGGTGCTGAGCAGGCCACCAAGACTGGGCCTGTAATCCCAGCACTGGGGAGGCTGTAAACAGGTGGATCAATCGAGTCCGATCTAGTAGTGAGACCCTGAGCATCCTGTAGATCCTTCCCTAAAATACAAAAAATAAATAAATTAATTTTTTAAAAAAGATGTCAACGAAATGATGCATTTCGTCGTGGAAATTAGAATTTATGCAGAGCCATCAGATGCCATTCTGAGCCGTGTTCTGTTTAACACACCGTGGGACAGCACGCAAACCCAAGGTCATTATTTGCTAGAATTTTAGGCGAGTCCTCTAAAATGGTAACTAACCTGCTGATTACAGATGAAGGGCAGCTCTGGGTCTCACTTCCAGCACACAGGTGCCCCGCTTGCCAGAGGCCCGCTAAGCAGCAGGACCGGAAGAGGCTCGCCCAGCCGGACCCTGAAGACTTCCTGCTGCTTCCTGAGGGCGGGTTTCTTCTGCCGGGGTGGCGTAAGATTGTGTGACACACACCACTGGAGCTGTTCTGATGGGAGGTTGGTTCCAGTCACACATACTTAAAGCTGATCCCCCCAGATCTCTGCCATCCCTCCTGTGTTACAGAGGGGCTCGGCACAGTAACAAGGCCATGTGGAGGGGCTGGAGAAGGGTGGCCAGAAGGTGCACACGCCCTTCTGCGTTGAACATTCACTGCACCCAGGAGGGACTTCTGCGTGGTCATTTTCTCACTCTGCAGGAAGCTGGGCAAACCGCTGTGTGCTACTAATGGTGACATCCGGAATGCCACTAGGTGTGGGGGTCTGAAATAATTTCCTGAATTAAATCTATCCCTGGCTTTTGATTAGCTCTGTGTGTGTGTGTGTGTGTCGCTGGGGATTGACCCTCGGGCCTGAACACTGACCTGGGTCTCCAGCCCTTTTCTTATTTTATTAAAATTTATTCTGACACAGGCTCTTACTAGGCTGCCCTGGCTGGGTCGGGCCTGTCCTGCTCCTGCCTCAGCCTCCCTGAGTGCTGCTACTGAAGGTGTGCACCACCGGGTCTGGCGACACAGCTAATCTTCTATCATTTGTCCACGTCCCATGCTTGCTTCCAAAGTTCATTCAAACTCCTGTGTTTTTGTTGGAACTTTGTCCCGTTCTTCTAGGTCCTAATTCTCTGTGTAGTCTGAATGCTTATTATTCCTGAGTTCAGTCCCAAACTATTTGTTTGTCCTTGTCCTTGATGCCTTCAGGCTCTCCAGGGGCTTAGACCCCTGAGACATGCCAGGCCAGGGCCGGGCTCAGACATGAATAGTGCGCTCCACCTCCCACGGGAGTTACTGGCCCGTGTCTGCCAGCAGCTCTCTGTGGTTGGCAGGGTGCAGCTGCTGGGTCCTCATGCAGCTGCGAGGCCATGAGATCCAAACGTGTTCTCACTGAGTGAGGTTAGAGGTTCTTCATTCAGAGCCAGAACTGTTCTTCTGATGCCCTTGAGTATTGCCTATTGGCTGGAGAAAGGAACCTGGCCATTGAATCTGGCTGCTAAAAAGTTGAGCTGTGACATCATTTTGGCTATGACAAATCTCTCAAAGCCCAGGCCTACAGCCCGAGCATTCCTGGGTGCGTTCCTGCTGTTACGTGATCTCGCAGTGGTCACTGAATAAGCCTGGACCTTGGTGTCCTCATTGGTCCATGAGGGAAGAGACTGGAGTTTGTACAGCATGCAGCGATAACCCACCCCACCGTAGGTGGGCTGGAGAGTTCCCGAAGGCTTTAAAGCTGGAGGAAGGACCAGCGCCCCACAAAGCTCTTAAGAAAGGAAGAAATCCTGTGATCCATTCCTTCTAGAATAATCAGATTTGGTTTCACTCTGGTGTTTGAGACAGGGTACTGCTATGTCGCTCAGGCCAGCCTTGAGCTTGCTACGTAGCCTGGAATCCACAAGGACCCTCCTGCCTCAACCTCTTGAGTGCTGGGGATACAGCTATGTGCCACTAGGCCTCACTGGAACAATCAGATTTTAGAATCTGAAGACACCTTGCACAATAAAGAAACTGAGGTCACGTGGGAATCAAGGACCTGGCAGAAGCTGCCTGTCCTGGCTGGATCGGAGTCAGGGGTGAGTCTGCTGGAGGGAGATCACCCTTTTGGGGAACTTGCTTTCTCTGCCACTCGCTGCCCAGCCTGTGGCACACAGAAACAGCTGGGACGCTGTGTCCCCAGCCTTGGCGGTGGCAGTAGGCACGTTCAGCAGCTGAGCACCTGAAGGCACGTGATAGACGGAACCTTCCTGCCCCAGCCTCTTCAGAGCCCAGCTGCAGAAGCTGGCACCGGTCGGACACCGCACACCACGGCGGGGCACAGGCCCACGGGCAGCCGCCACCAGGATGGAACCTGGAACTGGAAGAAAGTACCAGCGAAGCAGGAAAGAGAGGGTCGAAACACCTTCCAGCTCTGCGTTGGGTTGGTGCCTTGCGCAACCAGAAGACGGACGGACGTTGTCCTCAGCAGAGAAGGAGGGCGGGGCAGGGTGCTGCCGCCTGAACAGCAAATGTTTGCCCACTGCGTGAAGTCGCAACGGCGCGGCCCTGGCGGCCTCGGCCAACTGTTTGTTCACCTTTCGCCGGCCACCTGTCACATGTATCATCTCCATGGAGTACAGGAAGTGGGTAAGGAGCGACAGGGCCACACCAGCTGTCTTTGCCAGGAAGGAGCTTGGAACGTGGCTGGTGGTGACGTGGCTACATGGGCCGGAGGAAGCCCTCAGGATAAAGGCACAGAGGCGAGAGGCGGGGGCTGGGCTTGTGGCGTGAGCCGGCCGGAGAGCACAGCGCTAAGTCAGTTCTGAAGACCCGCTCTGTGTATGACAGACGTGTGTGTGTGTGTGTGTGTGTGCGCGCGCGTGCACGCGCATGCGTGCATGTGCATGCAAGCAGTGCCTTGGTTCAAGAATTCAACTTGTGCCACGATTTTGGCACTGTGGCTGTGCTTGCGTTTGTGTGGGAAAGATGGCTGCGATCGTGTCTGCCACTCGGTGCGGTTCACAAACGAAAACAAAATTTTGCAAACACTTCTGTTTGAGAACCCAACTGTTTGCAACAAAGATGTTCATGAACCAAGGAACCACTGTATATAACGCAGCGTACATATACGTAAATATTCCCAGCTGCATCTTACAGCCTTTACAAAAAGTTTTTCTTCATTTCTTTCATCTTGAGTCAGGGTCTCAGTAAGTCGCGCAGCTGACCAGGCAGGGTTTGAAGGTTCCATCTTCTCACCTCAGCCTCCCTGAGGGCCGGGACTGCATCCCAGGGCCACCTCAGCTGGGATGCAGACCTGTTTTCAGGCCCAGTGCCTTCCTGCTCCTTTCCGGTCAAGCCTTGGTTGGCTCCACCCCTCGATGACTCCTGGCCCACCTTTGGCCTTTATTTTGCCAACCCACGTCATAGAAACACGGTCCTGCCGCAGCCCATCAGCACCCTGCACTTGCGACTCCTCTGCACTGTGGAGTGCGGCACGCTCTCTCCTCTTGGTGCCGAGGGGCCTTCCACTGTGATGAAGAGCCGCACTGTCCTCTCCATCCGCCAGATAACTGGGCGTGTTCAACCAGTTGGACATGTTTGGTGGCGAGAAATCCACGTTGGCAGGTGTGCTACAGCTTGCCTTCTCTTGATGAACACCGGGTTGCTGGGCCGTTTGGGACACGCATGCTCAGCTCCGAGAAACCTCTAGGTTGGCCTCCACAAGGCCGGCCCATTTCGTGCTTGCACTGGCAGTACTGAGATGCAGCTGCTCCAAATGCCTCTCAGCGCTTAGCATTGTGGGGCTTTTTACATTTAGCCATTTTTACAGGTGTGCTGTGGCGTTCCGCTGTGATTCCAATTTGTGCCTCCCTGACGGTGGCCATACGGGGACTTTGTTGCATTTCTTTGCCTTCCTTGGATCTTCTCCGATGACATAGCTGAGCCTTTGGCTGTGTTCTCTTAGGGTAGTTTTCTCATGGCCAAACTTTGAGAATTCTTTTTATGCGATGGATGCAGGTCTTCATGTGCTTTGCAAATGTTTTCTCCCAGTCAGTATTTTGTCTTTTCACATTAAGTGTTTTTCAAAGAATATATGTGTTTATTGTGATAAAGTCCAGTTTACCATTTTTTTCTTTGATGAGTTATGTTTTTGATGTGCTAAGTAATCTTGGCCTAACCCAAAGCTTCAAAGATTTTTCAGGGCCAGCCAAATAGCTCAGTGGATTAAAGCGCCTGTAAACAGGCCCAGGGCCCTGGGGTTCAATCCCCAAGCCTGCTGTGCTGGCCCCGGGGTACTGAGACAACAATTGAGACTGGGCGTGGTGGTGTGCGTCTGTAATCCCAGCTCTTGGGAGACTGTGAACAGGTCTCCGAGTCTGAGCTAGAAGTGAGACCCTGAACACCTGGTAAACCCTTCTCTAAAATAAATATATATGTATATTTTTTTCACAGTTTTATGATTTTAGGTTTTACATTTATATCTGTAGTCCATTCTTGGTTAACTCTTATGATGATAGGAATTATGAGTCAGTTCACTTTTTCATTAAAAAGTTATTTTCTGGGGCTAAAAATGATAAAGCTTCATTGTAGAAAACTTGAAATGGGGAAAAAAAATTACTCCTTTGCTTAGCATCCTCATGTTCCTCTCCAGAGCAACCCACAGGCTAGGTAATCTCTAAAGAACAGAAATTTAATTCTTATGATTCTGGAGGCCGAAGGCTGGAAAGGACAGCAGGTCCTGCGTCTGGCGGGGGGTCTCCGCTTCCAACATGGCAGCTGTGCTGGCTCCTGCGGAGATAGGCGCCACGTCCGTGTCCAGCAGGAGGCAGAAGGGCAAGAGGGAGCCGCAGCTCTTTTAGACCGACTTGGTCACCCTCAGGAGGAACCTCGAGACCTATTGCTTCCTAAGGCCTGCCTTTCAGCCCTGTCACGTTGGGCGTGAAGACTCAACATTTACATTCAAAGCAAAACACGCTCAAGCCATTCCAGCCATAAGTGACCACCTTTTCCAGCTTACCACTCTGTCACCTTCGCCCTCCATTTCTCAGCAGTGGGAATTAAACCTAACACTCTACCCCCTTTAAATTTTATTTTATGGTTTTATTTTGAGATAGGTTCTCACTAAACAGCCGAATCGCCCAGTGTGGGCCTCAGCTTGCCATCTGCCTGCCTCAGCCTGAGTACTAGGAATTCGGCCATGGGCCACCATGCCTCCCGCTGTAAACTTACTTCTTGAAGTCTCTTAATGGGTTTCCTAATTACTGACCAAACATGCTAGTCACATACAATTAGCAAATACAGCTAAACGGAGACAATATGTCCAGCAGTTCTAGTGCTCATCTCTGAAAGTAGGCGGAGGGATTCTTTTATTGGCTAAATACACACACACACGAATGTCCTGTAACTTACTTGATAGTCTATTGCAATAGTTAGGGTGCATACTGTGTTTTCCTTTTTAGATGTCCTGCTGGAGTGAAAAACACGGCCATATATCTCGGGATTTCAGATTTTTTTCTAGGGTCAGATTCTAACCCAGCTCAAGAGAGCCAGAAGTCGTAAGTATTGTTAATGCTCCTAGCCTGCAGCTTCACTTCCTTCCCTGAGGGACAACTCCTGACACCTCAGGACAGGCGGGTGGTTGTTGGTTCTGGGGATGAACCCGGGACTGTGCACTTGTCGGCAGGCTCTTACGCCGCTGAGCTTCTCCTCGGCGCTGCATTTGATTTCCACTCAGGTCAGTATTTTTCCGCAGTGACCACTAGCCCCGCGTTTAGCTCTTTCCCGGCTTCCGGGTTACTCCTTTAGCTGGTACTGTGGCATCTCAGTTAGAGTGCGTGCGCAGGCAGATTCACCTTTCCTAGCAAACATCACCTAGTTCTGTCAGCTTGACATCTTTACCGCTTAGTAAAATGTGGGGAAGACATGAGGAAAATGTATTTCTATCAATCTTTGTGTGATTGGCCTCTTGATTTCTTGAAAAATAAGAAAAAGTGGATTTTTTTTTTTTGACCTTTGAATTCTTCAATTACTTGCCAGCTTTCCAGACAATTAAGACATAAATATTCTCTGTATAGAAATTCATCCTTCCTAATCCACGGTTGATACGTGGCGCTGAAGGAGCGCTGTGCCGCGCCAAGGACTTGC